TCAACTCGTAAATACGAACGTCCCAGGAGGACTTGAACGCAGCATAACTATGGTCGTAAATTCCATTGAACTCTATTGGTAACGACGGAACTTGCGTCCATAGTTGTTTTTGGGAAACGCACCCCAGATTAGAGACAGACCATTATGTTGCTTTTCATCCAAACCTTATCCTTAGAAGACTTAGATTTACTACTTGTCTGTTATTCCATAGAGGGGTATTATGGCAAGTAAATCAAATTCCAATAAAGAAGAATCAGAGAGCTTAATATGCAACTTGTGAATATATTTTAGATGCGTCTCATATCACCAGTTTTATTCAAGATAATCTGTGGAAATTATTTAAATTTTATTATTTTTTATTTTATTTTAAAGTTGTCTATTCAGATGAGAAGGGTATAACTGCAGCCTGGAGATCTCCAAATGGAGGCGGGAGCTCCAAAATGGGGCGTGGCTTCCTCCCATTGACAGACAGGCACACGACACGCATGCGCAATTTTTTCCCCCCAATCCACTTCAGTGCAAACTCCGCCCCACAGCTGATTCTAAAGATTTTATTGGTTGTGTCAATTAAAGTGTTGATTTCCTACACTATGCTACAAAAAAATGCTAACCCCTAAACCTACCCCACACCTGACCCTAACCTTAACCAGTGAAATTGACTGCACGGCGGGATTGGCGCTGAATAGCGTGGTAAAGAAAGTTGCAGTTCAGGAGATAAACAGTTAAAAAGATTATGCGATATGAGATCGTTCCGTAACTCCCCAACCGGACCTCAGCGGACATTGGCACCTTTTTAGTTGCACCCAACATCACTACCCCCTCCTACCCTGCGAATTTCGAGCCCCGGGATGCCCCCGTTGCTTAAAACAAAGCGATAGAGTAAAATATTTGCGCTGCGCTGGGACGGCTCGCGGGAGAGCTCGTGGGTGATTCCTGTTTATATCATGAAGCAGAGGTTCAAACTCCAGTCCGAACAGCACTGGCCACGAGCTTTGGGCTCTGCTCTCATGGAGAATATTTACTTATATAGCATATTTTATTTTAGATCAACTAGAAACCATGTTTAACTTATAACGTTTTATTTTGAAATGTAAGTCAATAACAATTGGCCGAAGCCAGAGCCAATGGTGAAAGTCTTTGCGCGAGGAGACCCCGCCCCATTTTGGAGGTTCTGCCCACTTTTGGAGTTCACGCCCCATTTTGGAGATCTCCGGTCTGCAGTTATATCTACTTGATTCAGATTACAAATTCAGTTGTTATGAACCCACCATCAATGTAATTCTTTACAGTCATGGCCCTTTAATACAATTCACTTTAACAAATTTGAAATTTGATTGAAGGTAGAAGATTAGTAGTCAGTTATTAAATGCCTCATTTTCAAAAAATTTCATAGGAGCTTGATGAAAATGCACCTTTAAAAGAAACACCTCAGATGGACTTAATAATTCTTAATGAGTTTAAAATATTTAAAAATTCTTTCCAATGCTCAAGATACAAATGCTTTGCAGCAAAATTCAGAGCATTTCATGCTTGCTTACACTATTTTTTTTTCTTTCTTCCTTTCTTTTTTTTAATGAATTCCTCTTATTTTTAGCTTTTGGGCAACACTTTTATTTTGGTCTTTCTACATTACGTCATAAGGCTGCGCCGGGCTTCTGCCTCTGTGATTCGGTGGAAGAAAGGTTTGTGTTTTCATCATTTAAAGTGTTTAAATTAGTACAACCCGTTCAGATAATTTTTATAGAGAACTGTAAATAAATGAATTATTATTGAATGTAACACTGTAATGCGTTATGCAGTAACATTAATTAAAGTTGTTTTATGAGTAAAGCGCATCCACACATGAGTAACAGAAGAGGTGCGTCTCATGTATGGCGAATCAGTTTATTAAACATGAATTCGGTCACTGGCAAGCAGGGATAGAGAAACGGAGCTTTTAAAAACTCCCGAGTCGATCGAATCAATTGCTTTGCTAAATGATTCACTTGAAGTAGATGAACACCGCGCGCTGACGACACCTGCTGGTCAACACATTGTAAATGCAACGAGAACAACACAACAACACAAACGTGTAATAATAATGACAACTTGTGCACTGATTACTGAACTAGGGAGCTGATTGAGACACACCCAGCTTTAGTTTGGATTTATGTTTCGTTCTGTTGATCATTCTCATCTTAAATATGACAAATTGTCCAAACACAGAAAAACTCCTGGTGAAGCAACTGAGATCCACGTGACACACTATTATAAAGATGGCATTTATTAAAGTGGAGAGTGAAGACATGAAGATTGAAGAAGCATTCAGAGTCAAACAAGAAGATACTGAGGAACAAACAGGTTGGTTTTCATCCGCAAAGTTGAAAGCAGTCATTTGATTCTAATTGAAATGTTGACTTTTACAGAAAGTAATGATATTTGTTAAAGAATGTCATCTGAGTGGCCTAATTACAGTGGTTTTATCTGACATAGAGTGGACAGACATGTTCACATAACCTAATATTATTGCTGCCTTCAAGTGCACTTTTATATGGATTTGAGAAGACTGTACTTTCAAGTTGGCCATTCATTATTATGACAAAAATTTGAAAAATACAGAATTACCTAGGGATGCATCGAAATGAAAATTCTTGGCCGAAGCCAAACAAAATGAAACACTGGGCCGAATACCGAACACGGTTTTTCGCATTTTTTCCCCCATTTTGCCAATTTTTTTTCACCATTGCCTAATTTAAATAGCCATGTGCTTTTTATTGCTTTGTCCTGCTTTTCAAATAAAAAAATCAATTACAAAACAACAATTTAAAAATATTTACTTAACACTGACTGAATATTTTTTAACATTCTAGCAGACATTATACCATCAAAGCAAAGTTTAACTTGAAGGGTTAGTTCACCCAAAAATGAAAATTACGCTGCGTTTTACTCACCCCCGAGGCATCCTAGGTGTATATGACTTTCTTCTTTCAGACGAATCCAGTCGGAGTTATATTAAAAATAGTCTTTGATCTTTCGAGCTCTATCGTTGCACTCAGCGGGTGTTGCATTGCTTCTGTCCAAAAGACGTGAAATAAAAAGCACCTTTCCATAAAAAAAAGTGTCTCACACGGCTCCGGGGGGTGAACAAAGGCCTCCTGTAGCGAAGCGATGCGTTTTTGTAAGAAAAATATCCATATTCAAAACGTAATAATCACTTTAATCTAGCTTGCGCCAGCAGTTGTACACAGAAGCAGTTCCGGGGGGATGAAGCAAAAGAAGCAAAGTTTCCTTACTTTAGCAAAGGAAAACCAGTCTCCTCTTGGCTTATATCGAAATCCTCTGACATTCTTCTTTACAAATCCTCGTTTTGATATTTTTTGGCCATTTTTGAGACTTGAATCAGGCATGTATTTTTTTACTGTACAAATAAAGGCAGCCTTGCTGAGCAAAAGAGAATTCTTTTAAAACATTAGAATATATTACCGATCCCAATTTGAACAGTGTGTGTGAATGTTATAATAAATGTATTACTATCATTTATGAATGTCGATGGAGTTGTTGCTTTTTCTCGACTTTTATTTTGGCAGAAACCCGCAGGAAGATCTCAGTGCTTCTTTTTGTTGACAACAGCATGCAGCTTTATGAATGATTCTCATTACGAATTTGGGAAGATGTTTGTCGCACGTATCACATTGTCACATGCCTTTAAAAAAATTCACAAAAATGTTACTGAGCAACTGACGAGAAACAAGTTCAGTGCAGATTTTCCTCGTGCTTTGGACTTTGAACCTTGGCGCCGCGAGCTCATGCAGCGTTTGAGGCGATTTCAATCATCATACAGTAGCCTAACCACCAGCATTAGCCACCTCTTCTTCTCATCGGAGACGTGATGCAGCACTAAACAGTCTCTCGCTGTCGGTGCTTCGTGCTTGTAATGATTTCTGAGTCTTTCTCTGATAGTTTTAAATACTTTCACACTGCCGACATGTTTGCTGCATTAGTGCGTGCCTCTATTTGATCGCGTTAGTCATTGTTCGGTACATATTATTCGGCCTTTTCGCTTATTCGGCCGAACACCGAAAGAGATTTTTTTTGCTATTTTCGGCCAAATAATTTCGGTTGCCGAACATTCGGTGGATCCCTAGAACTACCCTAAACAAAACAGTTATTTTGTGTAACATTAAATCCAATAACTACTTGTGATTCAAAAGCAATAAAAAAAAACATTTATTTCGTTCACTTAATTATGCAACAACAGTAATTTTCATAAAGTAACCCATGAACTCTGAATGATCAACTTTTTTGTCACGTCACATTTGTCTGCTGCATACGGCATTGAGGCAGTAACCATAAAAAAGTCACCATAATAAAATCCACTGTTATTCCTTGTGAGGTGTAGTATACAGTAATTTCTTTCTTACTTTGCAATCTATTGGTTACTTTTCTTGAATGAGATTGCCTCGATGTATGCCACCAAAAATGTGACCTCTGGAGGACACAGCCTTCGAAATGAGTAAACATGACTTCTAGGCAGATTGAACATTGAAGCTAACAGTATTCAAAGCCTTATAAAATCAAGAATCAAAAACACTTAACAAACAAAATATAACAACTTGTGCTCGGTGCAAGCTGTTAGCCACTCATAGCACTCATAGTTGAAATCTTTGAAATGGCGCACAAAACCTTCGCTTGTCTTTGTTTGCGAATTCAGTTTAGGTGTAGGTCTTCCTTTCTCAGTTATTTCTCTTTTGTCTGCAAAAGAGCACCTTGAAAAAGGCGTTTTAGTAGATCGGCAACAAGATCTGGTGTAGGCACCGACGACTGTGGCCGTCATTTTATTTTCGTTGAATTTCAATTTCATATCTTAGAAATTCCCAACTTAACGCTGGGGATAGCACTGGGCACGCCGCTAGACCCAGAGGGCGTGCTGTCATTGAACGTCAAAATTTGATTGGCTGATGATTCTGTCACTAATGCTCGTTACAAATCAGATGCGACGTCTATGAACAAAAGGGTAGCACTATTGGCGCTTTTCCACTGCATGGTACGGCACGGTATGGTTCACTTTTGGGGGTTTTTCGACTGGGTACGGTACCTGGTACTTTTTTTAGTACCACCTCGGTTGAGGTTCCAAGTGAACCGTACCGCTACCAAAACGTGACGTGTAAACTCTGCTGATCACGGATTGGCCGGAGAGAATCGTCACTACCTGCGTCACTGAACTTGCGACACAAACACAACAGAACCGCTAGATTTAAATCAGCACAGCCAGCTAAGGATCGAACGCAACTGTTTTGAATGAGCGCACTTTTTTTAACAACCAAAAAGTGGCTGTTTCATTGTCTGTTGAGGAAGTACAGACGCTCCTCTCGTTGATAGCAGAGGAGCGGATCCAGCGAGAGCTTGATGGGGGCGACGCGGAATGAAAAAGTTTTTCAGGAGTCGCGGCAATAGAGGCGGCGCAACTATGACGACGTGAATAATCCCGCCCACTCTAAAGCAGTACTGAACTGCAGTGGAAACGCAAACC